TATATCAAATATCTAATTTCTAAAAAAATGTTTTCCTATTTTACCACGTTTATGTGTGTGTATGTTAAAATCTCCTGTCCAATAATTCTGCAACATCAAGTGGATTATAATTTACAACATAACTCCTAGAGTTTTCTATACCTCAAGTCCAGAGAAATGGTTTATTAGTTCCTCATTTTTGTAATACCCTGGGACCATGCAACTTGCCCATAGACAACACTCACAGCAGGACACTGTCCAGAGAAATGGACCAGTTCCTCATTTTTGTAATAACCTGGGACCATGCAACTCGCCCATAGACAACACTCACAGCAGGACACTTTATTCCATCACCCATACATGTCCCATGACACCTTGTCTGATTTCTCTTCCAGAACACCCTGAGGGGATATGAACCCCTGCCTACCAAGTCATACCAGCTTGGACATGTGTTTATCTGTAATTAAACAATACATTCAGTTTATTCCTTGACAACTATAACTTTTATACAAGGAATGGAGGCATCCTTAAATACACAGAATGAAATGTATTAATTAAGTGTAATGATCCCATTTCCCTAAAGAGACAAAGATCGTGGTCAGTAGAATGAAATGTATTAATTAAGAGCACAGTTTGCTGTCCTCTGAAGATGCCGGCCACAGAGACTGGCGAAACGTTAGGAAAAACCACCTTCAGAACACGGCCAAGAAGCCCGAAAAACCCACAACAACCAATTAAGTGTAATGATCCTGTTTCCCTAAAGAGACAAAGATCGTGGTCAGGGAGTCCCTCTGAGTGCAAAACTACCACCTTTATTTCCCGAGGTAGGTCCTTTACGCCTCAGAAGTGAGTAGTAAGCCCCATAGACAAGCCTGAACCTTAAAAGTAGCCTTAATTGCTTCCAAAGCAATAAAACATAGGCTATGTGTTTCCTTATACAGTAATACATACCAACCTTGTAAAATAGGACAGTAGGATCCTTATTTCCAGCAGCCACTATTAACCTTCTTTCATCCACACTGGATTAAGTTATAGTCCTGCTGTATCAAGAAACTAGTCCTCTGTTGAAGTTTTATATTTGTTTTATTAAGAAAATAAAGTAGATCCATTAGATTACAGTTGTAGCTTTAAAGTTTAAGCATTGAGCATATCCATCTGTTACAATGTTTAAATAAATTTACAATTTCTAATTAAAATAAAAACAGCTAGGTAATCATCTTTGCTCTATGTTCCTACATGTTGGCATCTAGAAGCTGGGCTATTCCCCCCTTCTTCTTTCTAAAGAAAAACAAGCCTCTGTGTCTCACATTCCACAGCATTCACCGAACCTTTTTTCACATACACAAACCCTCTTATTCTACATATCTTTAGGACCTCCTTCCTAATTACTCTTTCAAGCTGTCAACCCATGAAGTCCAAGCAGGTTTGATTCAGAACACTCCAATCACTATCCAAGATTCTCATGATTCAGGCTCCAGGTGTCTTATCTTCTCCAAGTTAGTGATTTTTGTTGCGTCTCTTCTCTCTGGACTGTTTGACATTGTGACTTAGACAAACAACTCTGCATAACAAGTTCATGAAAAAAATCTCTTTTTAAATCCATCTTGTTGTTTAATTGTTAAGTTGTATCTGACTCTTCGTGACCCCATGGACCAGAGCATGGCAGGCCCTCCTGTCTTCCACTGCCTCAGGGCAGACACATTACACAGAACCTAATAGACTCCATTTTGGTACAACTACAATTCCCAGTTTCCTTCCATTTCCTTACAATAAGTACACACTGCTTGCTAATCAGCTGTTGGGAAGACAGCTTGGCCTTCAGTAATTCTGCCACCAATGCCATAGCTGAAGGTCTTCTCTGGCCATAAGGGAGGTGAAAATCTTCATGGTAGATAGAAGATGAAATTTGACAACGTCTAATTATGGGCAGATGAACAATGGCTAGACTCTTCTCTTTTGGCCTCAGGTTGTGATGAAAATGCTTGTGTATAACTGTTCCAGTTAAAACTGAAAATGTGGAATGCACAGGTTACTTGTTATTCCAAGTATGCAGCCCCCAGCCAAATCTTGGCATGTCATGTGGCCTGTGGCTCTCAAACTAATTTCAAAAGTTCTATGCATGCAACAGTTTAGACGAGAGCTTGTAAAATTACTCTTAACAAAGGTTGCCCATCCTTGTGTTACTCAATGGCTAAAATCCTGTGGCTTGGTCTAATGAACCAGACTACACTAGGTCCAGCTGGACCATAAAGAAGGCTGACCGCCGAAGAATTGATGCTTTTGAATTGTGGTGCTGGAGGAGGCTCTTGAGAGTCCCCTGGACTGCAAGGAGAACAAATCTATCAATTCTAAAGGAAATCAACTCTGAGTGCTCACTGGAAGGACAGATCCTGAAGCTGAGGCTCCAATACAGTACTTTGGCCATCTCATGAGAAGAGAAGACTCCTTGGAAAAGACCTTGATGTTAGGAAAGTGTGAGGGCAAGAGAAGGGGACGACAGAGGATGAGATGGTTGGATACTGTCATCGAAGCAACCAACATGAATTTGACCCAACTCCGGGAGGCAGTGGAAGATAGGAGGGCCTGGCGTGCTCTGGTCCATGGGGTCACGAAGAGTCGGACATGACTAAACAACTAAACAAACAAAACACTAGGTCCATTGAATCAAATGGAATTTGGTGAGTCAACTCTTGCATAAATTTAATTGATTCAAGTGGGCCTCCCTTAACTGTGACTTGTTTTAGCACAGTAAGTCACAGTAAGAGTAGGCTCATTTAAATCAACGGAATTTATGAAGTTCACATACCAAATCCCCACTGATTCACAGGGCCTATTTTAGTGTGAATTACTGTGCTAAGCAACAGGATTTTAGCCAATGAATACTAATATTAGTCTGATAAAAGCTAATTTGTATGTTTGCTTTACATAATCATACCATGCTCCAGAATCCCTGTCTCTGTACTACCTTGCTCTGATTTCCAGAGTTTATTCAGCTGTCTGTACAAAGAAAAATAGTTGCCTTCTGCAAACTGTCTATGTCCTGTAGTCATTCAGTGAACTGGTATTTGACAGTACCATGTACAGTTTAAGTATACAATGCTATTAATCTGCCTGACATGGTTTAAGCATTATAATGTACACAAATAGTTGTGAACCCTCCTGCATATATTCTAGCCCAAGTTAGGGACTTTAAAATCCTATTGATTTAAACTTCAAAACTTGACATGACACTTGGATGAACCACATACAATTATGCACTAAATTATTGAAATATTAAAGTTTGGCCAAAGCCTGGTCTTGATTTTTTTTCTTTTTTTGGTCAGACATTCTTTTCAGTTGGCTTGTACTGAGTAAACTTATCCCACGCAGTTGCAATTTTAATGCAAAAGCATAATTAGTTGGGGCAATGGTTTTCAACTGGCAATACAGTACTGGAGCGAAGATGACGTTTGAGGCTAATGCTTTGAGAGCTGATGGCCTACAGAGAAACGAGGTCGCCTCGGAAACAGCCCACCATTTCCAGGATACTACAAGAACCAGCAGCCTGGTCTACAGGGAAAAATAAGTGTTTTGGGAATGATGAACGTCCTTCTGCGGTAAAACAGATTCTCAAAGGAGCCTGGGTAGGACTTGTTTACACGGAGAAACGGGGATCACGTTACATCTCTAGTCCTGTTTGCTCGGGTGTAAATCCCACGTGGACCAAAGAAATTTACGGCCAAGCAAGAGAACAAAAAAGGGATGATATGATGTCCCCCAGGCGCATATTAGAAGTTCGTTCCCCCTTCCTCGCAACGGGTCCCAAACTCAGCGAGGGACCAATCCAGAGCGGGACGCTTGCTGGTTTGAAATACAAGCGGCTCCCTCCTCTCCCGGAGCCTTCTTTCCGCTGCCCTCTCACCAAACTGTGGTTGCTTTAACTCCTTCTGGAACCGAAGAAGGGAGCCTCCGCGGCGCGCCGACCTTCCCCGCCCGCCCGCGCGCCCTCGCCTGCAGCGCTTTTGAGGATTACTGGCTGCACAAAGCCGGCTGCCTGCTCCGGCCCAGGGAGGGATTTACCTGCTGCTGGCGAGCAAGCGCTGCCGCCGCCGCCGCCTCCTCGCCCCAAAGGCGTCGCGGCGTCGCCATCGAGAGGATTGCGCGGCGGCTGAGGCAACGCCGGGGACCCCGCTCGGCGCGCCCCCCCTTGCCCTTTCGCGCCGGGGAGAAAACTTTTCGGCTCTTTAGGGCGGCTCTTCGGAGCTCAACTCGCCGGCGCGGGGAGCCGTGACGGCGACACCGAAGGCGCCTCTCGGCGGGTCCGGGGAAGGGGGGCGCCCTTCAGGCTGCCAGGTATTCGCATGCTTTTTATTTTTCAATGGTTAACCTGGTAAGTCCACGTGTTTCCACGGGAGGGAATTAACCCCCTCCAGGGTGATTTTCCTCACCCCGGACGGCTTCGTTGGGTAACTGGCGGGGTGGGGGCGGCGTGTAGGGCTTGGAGCTCGCCTTGCCAGCGACCTCCACAGGGGTGGCGTTGTTCTTATTCTGACCTCGGCTCCCTCTTCTGGGGCCTAGGCGGAGAGCCCGGGCGCGTCGCTTGTTCCTTTCTCGTCAGAGGTGATGGATTTCAGCTCGAGTTTTCAGACGGGCTAGTCAGAAGAGAAGGGCGCGCTTAATGGCAACGCTTTTGAGAGCTTTCCAAATATCAAAACCTCAACCCCCCCACGCTCTCTCCCCCCCTTCCAGGAGGCTTTGGAAAGGCTCGTGCGCCCCGCTGAGCCCCTCCTCCACCTGAAGTCTCTAGGATGTATGTGTGTGTTTTTCCTTCTCTCCACGTGCCTGAAAGTATTTCGTGCCACAGCTCCACACTTGTTGCTCAAGGGAGTCTTGCATCAGAGTCGTCGCTCTCATTATCCACTCCCCTCGCGCTCTGTGTTAATTGTTGCCGGAGTTCCTGGGTTTGCAGAGGCGTGAGTGCAACGCGTTGTAATTTGCAAACGCCAGGGGAAGAAGGGTTGGGTACTCGTCTGAATCTTGAGTAAGCGCATGAGCGAGACATGAGTCAATGCATAACCTTCCTTGGCTTCCCCCCCTCTTTCTCTTTCTGCGTCGAGATGGCCGTCAAACTCTGCCCAAACAAATCCGGCGGCCTCCTTGTCAAGGTAACCAACTTAATCTGCTCCTGCTTGGGGACGCAGGATGCTGGCGCGGTGGGAGGGGCGAGCGAGGAAGCGGCGTGTTGCTGCTAACTTGTTTATTTACAGGGCTGGTGATAATTGTTCTGTTTCCCAATCGATTGGATCGACCTTCCCGTTGCCTCCAGAAAAGGGTTAGGGTTAGGCTCTTACCACTCTACCCCTAGGAAGTTAGATGGCCTGCACTAATGGTAACTGGCAAGCTGACAATATTATATAGGTCACTGGGAAATAATTCCAGCTTAATCGCCTTTACAGTATCTTTTTGGCTAAAGGGGAAAAAGAATTTCCTCTTACCATGCATATGCTTGCCTTTAATCAGAACAACGCTCTTTGGGAATAAAGTTTACAATAGTTTTTATTTTTATGTGTTGTGTTTGTACAGTATATCTACTCTAAAAATAGTACTTTGGTTATTATAGCCGGTCCTGAAATGTGATATCTTATGCATATTTTCTAAATGAGTTGCTAGCAAGGACTTGCCCCTTTACATAACAGTTCTCTTGACTTGGGATTAATATGAACTCCAGCTAAATCACCTGTTGGACATATTTTAATTTTACTATTTTATCAATAGTGTTTGCTTGTTAAAATGCATTTTGAGAATCTACTACATTACTTCAATAGTGTCATGAAGTATTTCCTTTAGGGTTGTACAGTGAGGCCAAAATTGGTCATGAAAATTGTAATCATGTTTTAAAAAGGGGAGTGAAAAGCTTAAATGCACACTGGGGAGTTGTTAAAGAGTCCTAGAGTTTCTTTAAGCGCAACACTGGCATACTGGTAGTTTCAATGAATTGAGGGCAAATAAGGAGTAGAATAACAAGAGAGGAAACAACTCTGTAAGCCAATAGGTGCTCTACCCCCTCCCCCATCTGTGACTGGAAGATCTGAGCTACCCAGATCTTAGTTCATAACAGCATGCATCCTTAGTTTTTTTTGCCCAAGTCCTGACTATAAAGATATTGCTCTGAAACATTTTTCAGAAGTCCTACACTATAACATAAACTTGTGCTACTGTATAAAATCAGTGCCCCATGAATCAGGTGGATGGATAGTTCACAGACTGGGAGTGCCCTTGAGTGAGGAGTTGGATTCCCCAATGTGTCTCCTGGGAGAAGTACAGCCTTGGACAAGCTGCACAATCCTAGGATGCCTTCAAAAGAAGGGAATAGTAAACCACAAGTACTTTATAGGCAGAAAACCCTGGAAAGAGTTGCCGTAAATCAGAACTGACTTGATGACATAGAAATATTGAATATCAGCACCATAGGTGCCAGCAGAAAGTGAACCATCCCCCCCCAAAAAAAACTACCAGTCCACTTATCACTCTCTATGTCACACGTGCAGCCGTCGTCAGTCGCATAGCACGAATTGCAGAAGTAGCCTGGCTGGCGCTTCCCCTCCTCTCCACACAGATGACCACTCAACAGCTGAGTGGGGAGATTCCTCATCCCACCTTCTCGCTGGAGTGGTTGGCCATGTGGAGAGGTGAGGAAGAACCAGCCAGGCTACTTCTGCGATTGGTGTTATGCAACTGATGATGGCTGTGTGCCCTGCATGGAGAGCAGTAAGTGGACCAGCAGTTTCAAATCCCCATTGAGCCATGGAAACTGACTGGGGGAGTGGAATTGGTAAAACTGCTCCTTAAATATCTCACTTGCCTTGAAAGCCCTGTTAGGATCACTCTAATTTGTTTCTGACTTGATGGCATAGACACACAAACGTGTTAGGTATGATGGACAGGGTTCACATGTTTAGCCTACAGTCCTTTGCATATTTTTTTGGGAGAGGTGTTCGCTAATCACAGCGAGTCTCATGCATAGACACGTGTATGATGCTACTTGTGGCTCAAGCTTGAAAAAAGAGTTTACATTTTTTTAGTAATTTATTGATTTGATTATGATTGCTTCCACTTGCATGTTTCTAAAATTACAGTTTTTTAAAAAAAATCCTTGATTAAAATAGGTTTACTTATTGCTTTTTTGAGCATAATTGAGATAAATATTAATTGATTTTAGTCTGGTCTAATAATCTGTAGTCCATAACCTTAAAAAGCCAATTAGTTGTGCCAAATGATTCAACAGGCACTTCATAAATCATCTGTTTTTATTGCCCTATGGGACTAGAAAAATGGGGATTGTAAAGCACCCGCCAGGCTGCGCAAGTTGGCTGCTGAAATTTGTTTAGCTTGGTGGTTCTTAGGGTGAGCATGCTTCAGTGAAGGTAATCAGTACTGAGATGCACATAGAGAATTAATGTATTACTCATTGATATATGAGTGTTTTTCTGTTTTCTCCTAGATTATAGTTTGAACAACATTTTAATTTTTGTCCAGTTGAGGTCAATTTTTAGCATATTGTAATATGCTATAGGTAAAGGTAAAGGTTCCCCTTGACATTTTCCGTCCAGTCCTGTCTGACTTTAAGGGGCGGCGCTCCTCCCGCTTTTCAAGCCATAGAGCCAGCACTTGTCTGAAGACAGTTTCTGTTGTCACGTGGCCAGCGTGACTAGGTTGGCGAGGAGCTGGGACAAAGCAACGGGAGCTCACTCAGTTGCGTGGATTTGATCTTACGACTGCTGGTCTTCTGACCCTGCAGCACAGGCTTCTGCGGTTTAGCTCACAGTGCCACCACACGTGTGTGTGTGTGTGTGTGTGTCTGTCTGTCTGTCTGTCTATATGCTTCGGGGACCAGCATGAACCTGTTTGCCACACTGATAAAATTATTATCTTTTGAAATTGTGTTTTTACTCTGCCATCTGGTTTTCACAATAATTATTTGTGATCTAAATCTTTTTAAAAAAAAGGTTTTGTTGGAAATTACTTTGGTGTTATCACAGACAATCTGGATTAGTTGCTGATACACAGAATCTTGTGTCATTAATGGCTTCAGCTTTGTCTGGTGTTTGGCAATGTAGGCTAGCTGTTATATAATTTGTTACAAACACAAATTCTTAATGTGCGGTTTTTACTAGCTAGTTACTCATCTTGTTATATTTTAATAGATTTAGCTTCCGCACGGACACAGTTTGCTTATGTCTCCATTTTTTCCTGCCAATATTTGTAGTGCATTTTATGGTGCACACTATAGGTATGTCATTCACTGGAATACTTTCTTTTGATTCTGTATTTTTTTCATAGTCTAGTGACTTTGTTGTGTTTCCTGCTAATTTTGATAAATTCCTCTTGAAACTTGCATCCAGTTTCTGAATTTGTTAGTTGGAGAAATATGTCAGCACACCAAGAGCTGCTTCTTTATTCCACTTTTCTTGTGAGTGATAGTGATATTAAACTTAATACCTTCTATGTAATTTCACATTTATTTTGTAATGCTTAAATATGGCTTTGCATCAGACTGGGCATATGGTAATACAGTCCAGTGATGGCTACAGTGAAAAGAGAGAAGATACCTTAATATAAGCAGACTTGTAAGTATTTGATTCAAAGAGGATCGCTCTGGCTTTTCTGTTTAATTCACCAACATATTTGCCATGCACCAGCTTTATTCACCATATAGCAGTTTGGCCCTTTGTCAAATCAAAGATCTAAAAACCAAACCCCAAATTCATTTTCAATTTATAATTGTAGCAGGAAGCAGGAGGATTCCTGCATACCAGCTGCCCACCACAATGCGAAGATTTCTGATTCGAAATCCTCAAAATAATGTCTGTTAGGTATGCACAGTGTTGAGGGTGCAGGACAGGCCTTAAAATGTGCGATTTGTAATGGCACCATACTACCTCTTTTGTAAGTCACATACCCAGCAGGTATATAGCTATAGTTAGTACTTAATTGATAGCAAATCAGAACCATTTGTGAACACATATACAGTGTGATCAGCATTGCTTGTTAAATTTTAACCTGTCAGGTGTCATCCAGTTTATCTCAGAGTGTAACTGGGTAAGTTGAGAAGGTCAGTGTTATTGGGAGAATCCATTTATTGTAGCATAATTCTGCTTTCCACTAGTTCAGGGGAATTTCTATAGGGGGGCCACAGGAAAAATCTGAACTGTGTTCGGGGACCGAACCAACTTTACTTAAAAATAAAATGAAACAGCGATGTTATGATTGTTTTTATTTTAAACTTGTTAATCTTCACAAATACTAAAGAGTTTTTTTGCGATATGTTAAAGCTACGCGACTGATTAACTTTA